CAAGCCACCTCCCACTGCACCCAGGGGACCTGCATGGCGAAATCCAGGCAGACCTCTTGGTCCTCAGACTGATCTCCAGATGCAGAGCTTAGTGGAGAGTTTGTTCATTCATACCTCCTCTTATTTATACTTTCACTCGTTTATTCACTGTATTTTCTGGGTACTTGGTGTACGTGATGCAGTGGAGGAAGCCAAGGCCAGCAGAGGGGGCTCTCTATAAGCCAGCAATTGCTGGGTCTGGCCTCAAGGGGCATTTCTCCACACCTCCTCTCCCAGCAGATGGCTGATGGACAGGAAGGCTGACACACAGAACAGTGCAAACATCCTGGGGTACTTCAGGGACAGTGGTGGAGGAGAACCTCAGGGAAAGACTGGACTTCCTGCTATCCTGGTGTTGGGGACACAGAGACACATTTCCTTTGCAGAACTCAGGCTTTGAGACCCCTCACTTGTACACGCTCCTTCCAAAGCCCTGCAGCTATTTTTTTTTAATTTTTAAAAATTGAGATAAAATTCACATACCATAAAATTCACCATTTTAAAGGTACAATTCAGTGTTTTTAGTACAGTCATGCACTGCATAACGACGTTTCAGTCAACGACGGACTACATATACAATGGTGGCCCCATAAGATTAGTACCATGTAGCCTAGGTGTGTAGGAAGCTATACTATCTAGGTTTGTGTAAGTACATGCTGTGATGTTTGCACAATGACGGAAGCGCCTAACGACACATTTCTCTGAATGTATCCCCACCATTAAGTGATGTATGACTATATATTCATAATATTGTATAACCATCAGTACTCTCTAATTCCAAAGTATTTTCATTGCCACAAAAAGAAGCCCCATACCCATTAAAGCAGTCACTCCTCAGCCCCTGACAACCACTAATTCACTTTCTGTCTCTATGGATTTACCTTTTCTGGACAATTTATATAAATGCAGCCACACAATCTGTGGCCTTTTGTGTCTGGCTTCTTTGATTCAGCATAGTACTTTCAAGGTTCATCCATGTAGTAGCATGTATCAGTACTTCATTCTTTTTATGGCTGAATAATATTCCATTGTATGGATATACCACATTTCATATATCCATTCATCAACTGGTGGACATTTGAGTTGTTTCTACCTTTTGGCTGTTAAGAACAATGCTTCTATGAAAATTTGTGTACAAGTTTTTGTGCAAACATATCTTTTTAATTCTGCTAGGTATACACCTGAGAATGGAATTGCTGGGTCATATGGTAACTTTAATGTTGAAATTTTTGAGGAATTGCAAACTGTTTTCCACAGTGGCTGCACCATTTTATATTCCTACATATGAGGAATGTATGAGGGTTCAGCAATGTATGAGGGTTTGAATTTCTCCACATCCTCACCAATGTTTTTTATTTGTTTTTCAATGATGGCCATCCTAGTGGGTGTGAAGAGGCATCTCATTGTGGTTTTGATTTGCATTTCTATAATGACTAATGATGTGGGACATCTTTTCATGTGTGAGGGCCATTTGAATATCTTCTTTGGAGACGTATATTCAAATTCTTTGCCTGTTTTTAAATTAGATTGTTTGTCTTTTTGTTGTTAGTTTATAAGAGCTCTTTATATATTCTGGATACTGGACACTTATCAGATATATGATTTGCAAATATTTTCTCTCATTCTCTGGATTGTCTTTTCACTTTCTTGTGTATGCAAGAAGGTTTTAAATTTTGATGAAGTCCAATTTATTTATTTTTTCTTTTGAAGTTTGTGCTTTTGGTGGTATATTTAAGAAACCGTTGTCTAATCCCAGGTCTATGTTTCCCTGTAGGAGTTTTATAGTAAAACCCTTTTACATAGTAAAATGCTCTTGTGTTTAGGTCCTTGATACATTTTGAGTTAATTTTTGTATATGGTATGAGATAGAGGTCTAAATTCACTCTTTTTCATGTAGATACCTGGTGCCCCAACCCCATTTGTTGTTGTCTTTTAAGTTAGATAGGAAAAAAAAGAAAGTAACGACATACATTAGTATTGTCTTTTTTTTTTTTTTTTGAGGAAGATTAGCCCTGAGCTAACTACTGCCAGTCCTCCTCTTTTTTCTGAGGAAGATTGGCCCTGAGCTAACATCTGTGCCCATCTTCCTCTACTTTATACATGGGACACCTACCACAGCATGACATGCTAAGCGGTGCCATGTCCACACCCAGGATCCGAACTGGCAAACCCTGGGCCGCTGAAGCGGAATGTGTGCACTTAACCACTGCACCACTGGGCCAGCCCCTAGTATTGTCTTTTATATTTATCTATGTTGATAGCTTTACCAACATTCTTTGTTTCTTTGTGCGGTTTCGAGTTACTGTTTAGTGTCTTTTCATTTCAACCTGAAGGATTCCCTTTAGCAATTCTTGGAGGACAGGTCTCTAGTGATAAACTACCTCGGTTTTTCTTTATCTGGGGTTGTCTTAGTTTCTTTTTTATTTTGAAGGATAGTTTTGCTGGATAGAAAATTCTTGGCTGTTTTTTCCCCAGCACTTTGAATATGTCATCCCACTATCGCTGGCTTCCATGGTTTCCAATGGGACAGCAGCTGTCAGTCTTGTTGAGGAGTCCTTGTACACGATGAATTGCTTCTCTCCTGCTGCTTTCAAGACTCTCTCATTGTCTTTGACTTTTGACAGTTTGATTATGAGGTGTCTATGGATTTCTCTGAGGTTATTCTGTTTGGAATTGAGTTTCTTGGATATGTAAATTAATGTTTATTCATCAAATTTGAAAAGTTTTTGGCCATTATTTCTTCAAATGTTCTTTCTTCCCCTTCTTCTCTCTCCCCTCCATTTGGGGCTCCAAATTATGCATAGGTTGGTATACTTGATGGCATTCCACGAGTCTCTAGGGCTCTGTCCATTTTTCTTCATTTGTTTTCCTTTGTGCTCATCAGAGTGGATAATCTCAGTTAACTTATCTTTAAGTTTGATGACCCTTTCTTCTGCCTGGTCAGATCTGTTGTTGAGGCCCTCTAGTGAATTTTTAATGTCAGTTATTATACTTTTCAACTTCAGAATTTCTATTTGATTCCTTTTTATGATTTCTGTCTCTTTGTTGGCATTCTCTATTTGAGGAGGCATTGTTCTCATAGTTTCCTTAGTTCTTTAGACATAGTTTCCTTTAGCTCTTTGAACAAGTTTAAAATAGCTGTTAAGTAAGCCCGATATCTGAGCTTCTTCAGGGACAGTTTCCATTGATTGCTTCCCCTTTCTCCACTCCCAAACCTTCCCATGTATGGGCCATATTTTCTAGTTTTGTTGCATACCTCACCATTTTGTTTTTGAAAACTGGACATTTTAAATATTGTAATGCGGCAGCTCTGGAAATCAGATTCCTCCCTTTTCAGGGGCTTTTGTTGCTGCTTGTTTAGTGACTTTTCTGAACTAATTTTGTAAAGTTATATTCTTGGTTGTGTGTGACCCAGAAAGTCTCTGTTCTGTTAGCTTAGTAGTCAGCCAATGATTAGACAGAGATTTCCTTCAACGCACCATACCAAAAAGTCTCCCGGCCTTTGCAGATGGGCCCTGTGTATGCGTTGGGGCACACCTTCAATGTTCAGCCAGGCGGCTTTCAATGCTGCCTTAGCCTTCACTTCCTGCTTGCACAGAGCCTGAAGGGAAGGTGAGCCAGAGGTGAGAGTCTAGAGGCTTCTCAGCTCTTTCCTGAGCATGCACACCACTCTGGGCATGCGTATGGCCTTCTAGATTGCCAGGAATATTTCAAAGGGCTTCAAAGCCCTTATTCCCCCAAACATCTCATTCCCCAGCCTTTCCTTCCAAGCATTTCGGTTAGTCTAGTGTTTGCCCTGACTGTTACTGTTTGCTGCCTGCTGCTTTAGCACTGGGTGAGTTCCAAGTTAGATGAGATAAAGGCAAATCTTTTGAGCTCGTCTCTTAGGGAGCCACCAGACGGGTTAAAACAAATAACTTCAATTTTTTTGTGGATGAAATCTGTTCTGCTCCCTCCAGTACAGATTCTGGTACCAGGAATGTGAGCTGTTTATTTTCAAGCTTATTGCTGAGCTGGGGAGTTGGGAATGGAAGCAGAGTAAGTTAAAATGCCACAAAACTCCGTGTTCTCACCAGGATTCAGCTGTTTTTCTTGCTTAAACACTCTCCTGATTATTGTAAGCTTTTGATTTGTTCTCAGAATTCTGAAAAAGTTGATCCTGACTGGGTTTGTTTTTTTTTTTTTTTTGCCAGTTTTTTCATTGCTTTTGGAAAGGGGCAGATTTTGGAGTTCTTTACTCCACCATTTACGCTGATCTCACCACTGTGCCAATTTTGTATTAAAGAGGGCCCCCCACTTTTATATGTCAAGCTCCACAAAACCTGGATCTACCCCTAGTTGGGATTGTGAGAGGGGACTCAGGCAGCTTTGGGTATTAAGAAAATGTGACCTTATTACGTGGCTATACTTTTATTATCTCTGGGCACATGGACAAGCAAAGCTTCCAGGTTGAGATGACAGAACATTTCACAAAGTTGGGGGAATGGGACTTCCTCCATTTCCGCACTGATCCCAGCACCTCCTGGCCCTGTCAGGACGGGAAGCCTTAGAAACATTGGAAGCAGCACACTTGGCACAAGGTTGTGAGCATCCCTTGGCATTTTCACAGGCATGAGGGGCCCTCACTGGAGTATCATGGATATGGGGCAGGGGTTGGTAAACGACAGCCTCTGATACAAATCTGACCAGCTGTCTGTTTTTTAATGGCCTGTTAGCTAAGAATGGTTTTTCTATTTTTAAAAGCTTGATAAAAAATAAAAAGAATATTTTGTGATGTGTGAAAATTCCATGGAATAATAATTTCATTGTACATAAATAAAGTTTTATTGGAACACAGCCACGCTCATTCACTGACATATTGTCTACATTTGCTTTCTCCCTGCAGCGGCAGAGTTGAGAAACTGTGATAAGGACTGTCTACTCTGTGAAGCCTAAAGTATTTACTATTTGGCCCTTTATAGAAAGAGTTGCTGACCCTTGAGATGAGGCTTTGACAGGCAGAACTGGAGCAAGAGGGAGAACAGAGAGGATGCCATGCACAGGTGAGATGTTTCCTGAGAATTTCTTGAAATACTTGAGGAGACTTTCCAGGGGCCTGGAGATCACGCATGATCAATGGGGGCAAGAGCAGGAAATGTGAGTTTTTGGTGTTAACATAACTTCATTCACCTCCCTAGGATGATGGGGTGTAAGAGTTTTCAGTTTATTCCCATGAACACTTTTGTGGGAGAATGATCAGCCCTATTTTGCTGATGGGAAAGTGAGCTAATAAAGACCCAGCTGAAAGCCCAGTGATGTAAAACACAGTTCTCTGGGTCTTGGATGCCGAATTTCCTCCTGCTGCATCCATTCTGCTGAGCCTCAGAAGGGGTCAAATCAGCTACCTCTGTCATCTGTGGTGGCAGCACAGGGATGCCATCTGGGCTGAATTCTTCTTCAAAGAGTCCCTTCCTCACAGGCAGACCTGACCCTAGAGCTGAAGGCCACACTGTATTAGATTCTGGAAGAGATGGGAGAGTTGCTAATTGAAGACCATAGAACCTTAGAGTCTCTGCTTCCCCCATCCAGAAATAACCCTGAAGTTGGCCCTTCCCCACTCTCACTTCCCCTTGTCCCTTCTTCTTTCCCATTCCTGGCTGGTCCCAGCTCCCTAGCCTGGTGTTTAGGGTGTTCCTCTTTAGACATATTGCTTAACAAGATGAGTCATTAAAAACAGTCTTTATGTTCTCATGATGTTCTTCCAGTCACAGGTACCTCCACATCTATGTAGTAAAGAATTTAACCTTGCCGCAAGAGAGGTCTTGCCCTCATCCTCAGCTTCTGGGAGGTAATCTCTAAGCCCTTGGAATGTCATGCATGATCATAGTGTCTTTGTTTGCCTGGGGGCCTTGGGCCAGCTAGATAGTAAGATGCGATTGTGGATGGGGGCTTTGGGTCATGAAATATCAGCTCACCCTCCTGGGGGCTGGAAACTGAGGTCAGTCACATGAGCAGTCAACCATGTCTATGTGATGGAACGCCAGTGAAGAGTGGACCCTAAGGCTCAGGTGAGCCTCCCTGGTTGGCAGTATGATGTGCAATATGATGGGGCCAGGAGAATAACGCTGTCCTGAGTCCACGGGGAGAGGAGACTTGGAAGCTCTGTGTTTGGAATCCTCTCAGATTCTGCCCTATGCCCTTTCTCCCTTTAGGGAAATTTTAATCTGTATCTTTTAGGTATGATAAGACGTAACTTGAGTATAAAAGTTTTTGGTGAGTTCTGTGAGTCCTTCTAGCAATTGTTGAACCTAAGGCTGGTTTTGGAACCCCCAAACTTGCTATTGGTGTCAGAGGTGAGGGTGGTCTTATGGACGGTTCTCAAACTCTGCAGTTGGCTAACTTTCACAACATCCGCCAGCAACAGTCCCCGCAGGAGGAGAAATCGGAGGGTCTTAGTTATTACTTAGCGACTGCCAGGAAGGCAGCTGACCTTTTGTCCTTCCAATTCTTCTATTTACTTTTTTTCTTATGTACTTCTCTGCCCTCTTCTCTCTCCTCCTACTGGGTAGGAGTCTTGGAGAACTTCCTTCTGAATCTTGGAGGGCCCCCTCTCCAGGAATTTTCTGAAGAAGATGGCTCTACATTTTCTGAGGACCTATGCTTAGTGGGCTTCTGTGCAGCAAGGGGAGGAGGCAGGCAGACACTCCAGGAACCAGTGACAGTGAAGCCCTTTGCATCTGTCAAGAGCTTTATGGATTACACATGTACATGAAATCCAGGTAGCCCATATGGCTGGCTTGAGCTAGGTCAGCCTGTCCGGGAGACTGCAAGTATCTTTCTGCCCACTTCAGGTGCCAGTGTCTTTACCCCAAATGCCAGTAAGTTCCACTGGCCTTTCTCTAACAATACTAGTAAAGGTTCTGTGACCCAAGATTTTAAAAATATAAGGCAGGATCAATAAAAAAATTATACACTATATCCTGAAATGAACATTATTCATAGGTCAACAAAATTGTGTTAAATTAAACATATAATGTTGTATATATATACATATATAATATTCAGATATATGTATATGTCAGAAACTAGGGAACAAATGAAACTCTTAGCCAGATAGTAACGGCTACCATGTAAGGAAAGCCAACTACATGTCTACAGCTACTGTTCTAGCTGCTTTGCACGGGCTGTGTTATTTAATCCTTAGAGCAACCCCATGTGGTGGATATTGTCATGAATTGACAGATGAGTAGGGTAAGGTTCAGAGACCTTGTTCAAGGTCACACAACTATGAGGGACAGGAGCTTGGATTCGAATGCAGGCAGTCCCTCTCCAGGCCGTGTGCTCTAACCACTTGCTCCCTTCCTTCCAGGGGAACGGGCCTGTCCTGGACTATTTGGATCTTCTTCTTTGATCATTTTGGTTCTTTAGAGTAGGGCTCATGCAGTTTTAACTGGCCTCCTGATGAAACAGAGACTTTGTTGCCTGGCTGATAAAACCGTTGCAGAGATTTCTTAGGCTCCTGATGTGTGGTGGGTTAGCAATCATAGTGTTGGCACAGAACGCGCATCCAACTGTCATTCCACACACTGCCGTGGAATTGGGCCACAGGTATTTCTGCTAAAACCCCTCTTTCCCTGACCTGTCCTGGGCTATGTTGGCAAAGAGCTCCTGCAAGCTGCCTGTGCTGGAGTCTGAGTCAGAAGGGGACTGGTAGATGAGTGAAGGCTTGGTCCCTTCTGAATGACATGTCCTGGCTCTCTGGCCCTGGCTTAGACTCCCTCAGGTGCTGTAATCATTAACTCCTGCAGGAAGCCCACAAGACAGATAGCTATCAGAGCATCTGCTTCTGCTCAGCTAGACACAGCGGCTATTGATGTTCTGAGATGGAGACAAGTCAGGAAAGAGATGGCGGTGAGGGGGTGGCAGGGCAGGAGCCAGGTGGTGGGGGGCTGAGGCTTAGGCAGGAGATTGGCTTGTGGAGTGCTGTGTCCCTGAGTGCTGGCTGTATGATCGGCTCTGGTGTTTTCATGTCACCACAGGGGGTCTTGTTCTACATGGGCAGCCCTGGGGCCAGTCTTGTGGTTGAGGCAGTGTGTGGCCTCCTGGCCATGCTGGGTGCCCTGTGCTATGCTGAGCTGGGTGCCCTGGTTCCCAAGTCCGGTGGGGAGTATGCTTACATCCTGCGAACGTTTGGCTTCCGGCCAGCCTTCCTGGTCATCTACACGTTTGTGCTGGTGGGCAGACCAACCGCCATCGCTGCTGTCTCTCTGAGCTTTGCTGAATATGCAGTGGCTCCATTTTACCTGGGCTGCTCCTCACTGCCCCAGGTTCTGCTCAAGGGTGTGGCTGCCACCTGCATTCTGGTGCTGATGCCGGTCAAGTGCTGGAGCTCATGGCTGGCCACCAGGCTGATGAACTTGTGCACAGTTGCCAAAGTGTTCTCCTTGCTGCTCATTGTGGGGGGCAGCACTGTGGTGTTGGGCCAGGGCTGTGGCCCACGGAAGCCCTTCTGTCCGCCTTCCACAACACGACAAAGCAGGCCAGGCACATAGGCATGGCCTTCTACCAGGGCCTGTGGTCCTTCGATGGCTGGAATAGTCTCAACTACGTGATGGAGGAGCTCAAGAATCCAAACGTGAGTCCGTGATGCTTCTTCTGGGAGTGAAATCTCCACACGTCAGCAGCTCCAATTATTGTGATCCGAGCTAAGACCATGAGAAGTCAGCTGGAAACAGGTCTCCCTTCTTGCACTCCTGGGATGAATGCCAGCCCACTGTCTACCCTGATTAGTTTATGGAATTCTATAAATAAAACTTCTCAAGCAAGCACAGAACTCTACAGGATCACACCCAGGGTCTCATTTGCTGTCCCGAGAGGCAGGTATTAACATCCCATTTTTCACATGAGAAAGCTGAGGTTTAGAGACGAGAAGTGATTTTGAGGTTATGCTGCTAGTAAGAGGCTGAAAGATGACTCATCTTATCTCCTGACTCAGACTCAGAGATATCTCCTGGACTGTTCTCTCTGGAAGATGGGAGAAGATACTAATTCATACCTGCGAAAGCATGGGAGCCACAGGACATAACAGTATAGTTTGGGACAAGAGGGTGGACCAGTCCTGCCTGGCTCGCCCACCTGTGAGCCTGGGGCTGGCTAGTCATTGCCCTGGTGGGGGAGGGGTCTGCAGGGCCCCTTAGGACTCAGTTGGAATATTTGGACTCTTCAGTTACTGTGCATATTAACTCTTTGCTATAAATATATTTGCCTAGGACATTATTTTTTTTCTTTTTCCCCTGCAGAAGTTTTAAGTTCTTGTAGAATGAGGACTGCCAGGCTTTTCCTCTATGTCCTCCGGGCTGGGTTAAGGGCCATTACAGCTCTCAGCAAAGGCTGCCTGGAGGGGAGTTTGGGAGAAATTGGCAGGTGAAGAGGAGCTCAGAAGACTAAAGTCCAAGAGCAGAGAGTGAGACGGCAGAGAGCCGGGAGTCCTGGGACCTAGTTTTTATTCTTGCACATAGTTCCTTGTGCCTCAGTTCTTTGCCTCTAAGACATAAGTTGCCCTGCCTGCCTCTCGGGGCTGTGGGGTATGAAGAGGTGTAGTCACCTGTGGGGATGGCTAGGGGTCTGCATACCATCAACAGCTGTACGGTTGTAATTTCCAGTGATGGTCAGTGCGTGCTCAGGTTGGCTCTGGGGTGGGATGGGGCACTGGCTCATTCCATTCACAAGGGCTAGACCCCTTTCTCTCTGAATCCCCTGTGTGCAGGCCCTTCCTTTCTCTTCTGCTTTGCTGATCCCCACACTTTGCAGGGAGGCAGAGCCCCATTTTATAGATCTCCAACTTCCAGTTGAGGAGACTGAGGGTCAGAGTAGAACCCCTGGGTAATGACCGTCAGTCTGGGCCTGAGTCCTGGGGACCCAGAAACTAGGTCGATATGGAGATCTTCAACTTTCTAGCCTCTTCTGCATGCCTCTGCTCTCATGGTTGCCCCTGCAGGGAATACTTCCCCTTCCATCTGCTTGAATCTCTTCCATTCTTCAGGGAAAGCCCAGCGTGAGGCCTGCTCATTCCAAAGCTTTGGTGATGACTCCTCTCCCCTTTGTAAGGCCCTCTGTACCTCCACTGCTCTGACTGGTTAGTGCCCCTCATGGTTAGTGCCCCTCATGGTCTGTCAGTACATCTGCCTGTATGTGTGTCCATGCCGTGAGGCTCTGAGCTCACAGAGGAGAGGCACATGGCCTGAGTGCCCCCCACGGCCTGGCACATGCCCTGTGGCCAGGACGAGCTCAACACGGCACTGTTGAGCTTGTTCTGGGGGCCTGAGAAGGCCCTCACCGGCTAACAGGTGGCCTCTTCTCCCCGACTCTGCAGCAGAACCTGGTGTGGGCACTAATGATCGCCATTCCCCTGGCACTGGCCTGTACATCTTGGTCAACATCAGTTACCTGCTAATGTTGTCACCCACTGACATCCTTTCCTCTAATGCTGTGGCCGGGAGCTAGTGGTGAGTGGGTCACATGCTGTGTTCCTTGCCCACTGAGCAGGCATTCCAGGATGAGGAAGCATAGAGCCCCATACATATTTCAACTTGCTTCCAACGCTTCCTGCTCCATTTCCGAGTGGGGCCTTGTGGCGGGCTTCCAGGTTGCTGCAGGGGTTTCTTTCCTTGATCCCTCTGTTGTTCTAGGAACCAGGTTCTGGGGGCCTGGGCCTGGCTGATGCCCTTGGCAGTTGTGCTGTCGACATTCGGGCTGTCAATGGGATATTCTTCAGTGGAAGCCGTGTGTGCTATGTGGCTGCTAGAGAGGGCCACGTGGTGAGAGATGGTTCTGGGCTGGGCAAGGTGG